ACGTCGTCTAGAAATCGCCAAAGAAGTGGGAGACAAGGATGGAGAAGGAGCGAGTTATGGCAACCTTGGCAGTGCTTATCATTGTCTAGGACAGTTCAAAACAGCCATCAACTACCATAACCGTCATCTAGAAATTTCCAAAGAAGTGGGAGACAAGGCTGGAGAAGGAGCGAGTTATGGCAACCTTGGCAGTGCTTATCATGGTCTAGGACAGTTCAAAACAGCCTTCGACTACCATAAACGTCATTTAGAAATTGCCAAAGAGGTGGGAGACAAGGCTGGAGAAGGAGCGAGTTATGGCAACCTTGGCAATGCTTATCGTGGTCTAGGACAGTTCAAAACAGCCATCGAGTACCATAAACAAGATCTAGAAATTGCCAAAGAAGTGGGAGACAAGGCTGGAGAAGGAAGGAGTTATGGCAACCTTGGCAATGCTTATGGTCATCTAGGACAGTTCAAAACAGCCATCGACTACCATAAACGTCATCTAGAAATTGCCAAAGAAGTGGGAGACAAGGCTGGAGAAGGAGCGAGTTATGGCAACCTTGGCAGTGCTTATCGTAGTCTAGGACAGTTCAAAATAGCCATCGACTACCATAAACGTCATCTAGAAATTGCCAAAGAAGTGGGAGACAAGGCTGGAGAAGGAGCGAGTTATGGCAACCTTGGCAATGCTTATCATGGTCTAGGAGAGTTCAAAACAGCCTTCGACTACCATAAACGTCATCTAGAAATTGCCAAGGAAGTGGGAGACAAGGCTGGAGAAGGAGCGAGTTATGGCAACCTTGGCAATGATTATCGTTGTCTGGGACAGTTCAAAACAGCCATCGACTACCATAAACGTCATCTAGAAATTGCCAAAGAGGTGGGAGACAAGGCTGGAGAAGGAGCGAGTTATGGCAACCTTGGCAGTGCTTATCATTGTCTAGGACAGTTCAAAACAGCCATCGACTACCATAAACGTCATCTAGAAATTGCCAAAGAAGTGGGAGACAAGGCTGGAGAAGGAGCGAGTTATGGCAACCTTGGCAACGCTCATCTTCGTCTAGGACAGTTCAAAACAGCCATCGACTACCATAAACGTCATCTAGAAATTGCCAAAGAAGTGGGAGACAAGGCTGGAGAAGGAAAGAGTTATGGCAATCTTGGCAATGCCTATGATGGTTTAGGACAGTTCAAAACAGCCATCGAGTACCATAGACGTTGTCTAGAAATTGTTAAAGAAGTGGGAGACAAGGATGGGATTGCCCAGGCTCTTTGTAGTCTTGCTACAAATTTTGAAAGGCATGAATGTCTCCAAACCGCCCTCGACTATTATATTTCTAGTAGAGAGATTTTTAATAACGTTCGGGCTAGTTTTCTGTTGCACCATAACTGGAAGATTTCGTATCGAAATGTTCACAAAACAGCATACAATGGTGTTTGGCGCGTACTTTTACTGAAGGGTGAACACGTCAAAGCTCTTCTTGCTGCCGAGGAGGGACGTGCACAAGCTCTAAGGGATATCGTGGATTTAAAGTATAGCTTTCGACAAACCCTCACGTGGTCGAACTCTAGGAAATGCTCTGATTGTCTTTCATTCAGAAACGTTTCATCAGATGTAGTTTTCCTAGCAATTACTGGACCTTACATTGCTTCGTGGACTATTCGGAACGGAGAAGTCGTTCAATCGAGAATAAAGCATGTGAACAACTTTCTTTACCAACGTGAATTAGAAGTTTACATTACCTCTTTGAATAAGGCTGCTTCCTTGCAAGTTAGTGCATGGGAAAAAAGTTCAACTCAAGTGGGCCGAGATGAAAAAGGAACGAGCGATGGTTCTCCGCGAAACGCGACGACAAATGCCCTGCGGAAGCTTTATGATATCATAGTTGCTCCTATCGCAGATCTGATTGATGGAGATGAGCTTGTATTTGTTCCTGAAGGTCCACTTTGCTTGGTGCCCTATGCAGCATTGGTGGATTCGAATTCAAGGTGTCTGTGCGAATCTTTCAGGATTCGAGTAATTCCATCCCTAACCATTTTAAAATCAATCTCAGACTGCCCGACAGAATTGCACAATAAAACCGGTGCACTGCTCGTGGGTGATCCATGTTACAAGCAAGTCCTTTATCAGGGTGATTTGTTGAATCAGCTGCCGGGTGCAAGGAAAGAGGTGAAGATGATTGGAGGAATCCTCGGTATTGCTCCTCTCGTTGGAGGAGAGGCGACAAAGGAAGAGGTATTAGGACGAATTTCCTCAGTTGCGTTGGTTCACATTGCAGCGCATAGTAAAAAAGAGACAGGAGAGATTCTCTTGGCACCAAACACGAGTAGGACAAGCTGTCAAGCTGAAGAGGAAGACTATCTACTGACAATGAGAGACGTGTTACGAGTGGGGCTGCGAGCGAAACTGGTTGTGCTAAGTTGCTCTCACAGCGCTTGCGGTGAGGTTATGGCTGAAGGTGTGGTTGGCATTGCGCGAGCGTTCTTAGGTGCCGGTGCTCGATCGGTTCTGGTAGCCCTGTGGGCCATTGATGACGATGGTATTCAGGCCTTCATGAAACATTTCTACGGAGCACTGGAAGAAGGCAAGGGTACCAGTGAAGCTGTCAATCAAGCCATGAAGTGCATGAGAGAGTCTGAAATGTTCAGTAAAGGGAATTACTGGGCGCCATTTGTACTCATTGGGGACGACGTGAAACTGGAATTAACGGAAATTTAAAAGGTATCAATCGTAAGTGCGCCTTTAATTTTGCTCAATCAACGAAAGTGAGATGTTAATTATCACCTCTTCGTTCCTTTTGGAACTTTTTCATGAATATTTAGATGTGTGTCCAATAACCCTTTATGTCTTCATGTCTTTTACCTTCATTACGTTCCTGCAGCCGAGGTAGAGGGTGCACAAGGATAACACAAAACAGAGAATTAAGTTTCTCGTTGAGTTATTGCACTGCCTGTTGTTAATACCGAGACTCGCACTTACATTTATTTTTCGAGGAATTCAAGAAAAACATTCAATTTTGCGGCTCTTATACTTTTCTTGTAGGTCATCACTGATGGATCTGTATGCAGACAAGAGTAGAACCCAGGCGTTTGGTAGTGACTAATGGCAATCAAAACCAACAGAGGCACGCGATACAAATTTAATGTCACGCGGCATTGAATTGAACCAGTGAAATCATGAAATTACTAGCATTGAGGCTATAATCAAATAAGTGATTTGTTACCATATCATTTAATAACTTTTAAGTACAATTTGTAACTCTTTGACTTCTTTTAAATTCAGCTTTGTGGATTTAAACTGATAAAAGTTATATGGTTTACTTTTAAAAAAATATTTTTTGCGGAGATTGAGTAGTGTTGCGGCCATGTTTAAGACAAGTTATGCTGAGAAAACCTTTTAATTAATTTCACATGGTCTTCGTAAGGATTATACAGCGATTTTTTCTAAATCACAAGTTTAATACGAAAGTTTGACCTTTGGTGTTTTGGCATATCTTACCTTTGAATTTCTAACTTGTTGTAGGTTGTACATACGACTGCTTTTTTTACATGCATTTGGACATGCATTTGATACAGTTTGACCCATTGGATTGATAAGTTAATTTTTTAATCTTAAAGCCTTTGCCAGCTTGGAAGTAATGTACTCTCCTTAAAAACTAGTGCAGGCATAAATCATGAACTGTGGAAAAAACAGAGTCCATTGGTAATTACTTGATACATAATCCAATTAAAATCCATTTCAGATCTTACAGTTTTTGTATATTTCACGCAGTTTTCGCTCGGAAAATTTAGTGAAAAAGCAGGCGATGTTTTTAGATTATCACTCTTCTGCTTGATATTGCAAATTTAGTGTAAAAAGAACCTCCGAAACAACAAAAACTAGAACACCATGAAATTCATATTCTGTTACAGCCCTTCACTCTGTCTAAACTTTTCCTTTTGCCCAATTAATTAAACACGCTGTTGAATTACAAGGATAAGACCCACACCTCGCGTCTAATTCACTTGGACAAGGGGAGCTGGTTCGAGTGAAAGGACGGTCAGCTTCAAAGGTCATTAAGTCTAAAACGAAATATCCATGTTTTTCCTACCACCCTGTTAAAGAGGATACATTCCGTTAGAGACCGATACTGTGCTTTTAAAATGCAGCTAAGTATTATTGCTCACCACTGGTTCACATGTTTCACACTAAGTGCGCGGGGCTAGATTTCCGACGGTTATCGAAATTTCAGGGTAGGGGCGCGGGCTCATTTCCTGAACAGCAACTACTTTTCGATCAAAAACTGAAAATTGTTTATTGACAATACTACTGACTTGCTCACCTAGACTTAGGGAAACATTTCAACTCTTTCACCCCTCGGAGCTACTATCATGTAATGTCTCCCTACAGTATCAAGCCGAGCTAAGTATTAAGGTCATGAGAATTAGGGAAATGATCGCCAAAATCCTCGTTGTCAGCACCGTAGGAAATGTATAGCAAGAGGGCGGGTTGAAGAATTGGTTTCAGAGTAAACTAGTGGAGTAACTGACCAGAGTATGCGAGGTGATTTTCAAATAGCAAGAAGTCTAGTAATTCACCACAGCCATACTCATAGGAGGAACAAAACAAGGGGATCACCTCACCATTACTCCACCCCAATCCTACGCGCACAGAAAATTGCAGGCCTTTAAGGCCACTACAAAAAAACTAAAGAAACTACTACATAGATCTATCTTTAAGTTACATTTGTTTCTCGATTTTCGCCAAAAGTTTTCTTACAAATCGTTCGTAACTTTTCTGGATGCAGAGTAAAACAATGCCACCTAAATTAAGACAACTCTCAGTTTTTTCTTTTTTCCAATTCCAAAGTTTGTTCAGTTTATTTCTTCTCTTCCTCATCTTCTCCTTCAGTCTGTTTTGCAAAGTACTTCTTCTTTTCTGTTGGATCAGGTATGATCGTCTCTTTACCAGGCTTCCAACCGGCCGGACAAACTTCCCAGTGTTTGTCAGTATATTGGAAAGCCTGGACTAAACGTTAAGTCTCGTCGACTGATCGGCCCACCTGCGAAATAACCAGTTTAGATTAACTTCTTTGAGTAGCTAAGTTATAAATAGTACTTCACACTTTATAAAGCCAAAGACCGCTAACCGCAAAAAAATCAGGAGACTGGACACCAGGAGCCTTTTTTCTTGATACTATCTACTCAGCTTTTTTTCTCCCTTGTCCAAATCAAAATCGAAATATCACTATTTTTCAAATGAAATAATAAAAACGTCACGAAATAAAAGGAAAGGGATCCCCACTGCTTAACAATTAAACAATGAGCTTGAGATTTTTACCACGTGACAGTGGACGAGGGCCAGACTCGAATCAAATTATATGAATGGACAGATAAATTTTCTCAGCGTATCAAGAACAATTAACTGTAGAAGCAAACAGCTACATAAAACTCGCAGTAGAAATTCACGGTACAATTACAGTCATACATGTACAGTTACAACATACCGGTTGGTCATTCATTGTGATCTGTCGTAGAGTCCCTTTGTCATCGATTATAAATAGACCCCTGAAATGGAACAACAGGCATGTAATAAAATTGGTCATAAAAGTAAGAATATTCTCACCTTAACCAAATCTCCCCTGCCTAACTATCAGACCTGTTATATAGCATGAAGGAAGCAAAGTACAGCAACCTGATCAGACCTGATCTGAGTGTGTTTTTAATCCATAGATGTTATGTCCATTACGGGGACATAACTCCCCCCCCCCCAGCTCCCCCTGCAAAAGTAGTAATATTAAGGGGAAAAAACCATCCGACCAAGAGAGACTCTTCAGTATATGAGTTACGTTTTTCTTAACTATGTGGTGTGACAGCCAACAATGCAACAAGATAATGCCAGTCAGGTGCTCAAAACTGGATATCTTGATCCAGGGTAGGAGCACAAACAAAGAAATGTTCAGCTTTTAGAAATCAAGAATAGGTAGATTGCAGATAATGAAATACTTTGTTCAAGCAGATATGGTCTATTAAATGATCATCATTATCATTATCATTGTCATAATCATTATCATCATTACATCAAGTAAGTTTTTTTGGTACATACCACACACATGAATGGTGCTTTTTGTGTGCTCTGATTGGCTGGCTTGAAAGTGATTAACAAGTACTCTTACCCTTTGAGCAGCCGAGGCAACAGAATCATGCATCAAAAATTTAATTTCCAACCATTTCTTTGTATATTGACAGAAATGTACTGATTTTTTTATTTCTGTGTGGTACATACAGTGTATATGCTAATATAATTATTTACCTCAGTGTAGGTGAAAGTGGTAGATATTTACCTAGCTGCTTTACAGCTCGGTTAATATCCCCAGCTATTTCACCTCCACTTTGTTGAATAATGTTTATTATTCCAAGAGGATCACAGCTGATAAACACTAAACACATGTTTAAATAGAATGGCCTACAGACACAAAAAGTCAGAAACATGAGGAAATACAAAACACAGATATCCTCACCTTAGGGTGTGACCTTCATTCTCAAGCAGTACTCCATAATCTTTAGCAATTTGGTGGTTTAAGTCAGATAACAGAGGATATTTAAGCCTTCCCAGTCCACCCTCTTTCCTTGGAGTGTTTATCCTAGAATTGAAAAGAATATACTGTAGGAACTTATTTATTGCCTCTGGTACCTCTGGGAATTCTTAACAATTCAACAGGTACAAGGATTGCTCTACTAGCTGTTTTGAGAATTCTTTAAATTACCAATCATGCTTAAAATAAGGGTGAACACTGCTGTAGCAATATATATATCTTTGTGATTATCCATGGAGTCATTCAAAAGTTCTCTCCTGGATGACTATATTGTAATGATCTAACACTTTACACAAACATGTAGAATGAATGTAACTTAAAACTGGAATACATTTTATGGTAGATTTTTTTACCAAAAATGGTAATTTTTCCTTTTTACTTTAATTTCTGGCATTCTACAAATCTTCAATATAAATTGGAAATACCTTTCTCTGTTTTTTTAAAACTCTCAAATCCTTTAAAGTTACAAATTCAGTTAAAATTTAGGATTGACCCTTAAACCCCTGAGAGTGACTAACATCTAACTTCTCCTAACAACATCAGCCCTAAATCAAACATTTAGGTCATGAGAATAAAGGAGATGATCACCAACTAAAGAAACTCTTGATTGTTGAACAAATTCTCCTTGTCAGAACTCTTGGAAATGTGTAGAAAGTAGTAATGGAGAATATACATACTGATGTTAGGGTGTAAAGGGTTAACATACCAAGCTAAATGGGTAAAAACTGAATCTACTGAACAACCAACAACTTCAGTGTTGATTGCCCTGAACTCTTCAATTCTGTCACTAAAGGCAATGATCTCCATTGGACAAACAAAAGTGCTGCAAATGACAACAAATAGGTGTTATTTGTAATGATTCAATTTAAAATAATATGCATGCAATTAATGAAACTTTTAATATCAGTCACCTTGAGAACAATGTTGACTACTCGGTAGCAATTGCAGAGAGATGACTAATTTGGCAGGATAGCATGAAGGTAGCAAAGTACAGCAAACTTTTAGTCAAAGAGTATTCTAACATCTAATACTCACAAGTCAAGGGGATAGAAAAAGAACACCAGATATTTTCCTGTGTAGGAAAAAGTAATAAATATAACACAAATTAGAATAAACTGGAAAGAAAAGACAAATCATCAACAGATGACCAAAAACATCAAGTGAACATGCCAGAATTTGAGCAAGGGGAAGGTTTATCAAAAATCTGTAGAAAAAACTGGAAGAAGACAAATCATTAACAGATAATGAGAAACATCACAGAAACATGCCAAAAATTGAGCAAGGGGAAGGTTTTTGAAAGAGATAATAATATTTTTAACCAATGTTTCATTAGATGTATTTGGTCACAACAGGTCACTTGACTGAATCTGCCTTGTGCATCTCCAAACAGGCAATGCCCTGATGCACTGACAAAAATGTGTTCATTCAAGCCCAGGCAGAGGCCTCTGTTCATATAATAGCACATACAAAAAGGAAAATATTTATAAGCATTACAGTTTCAAACTGCTCCTGGCAGAATTACCAGTAGCCACATACAAGATCTTTACAAACCTGTGATTGGACTTCACATATGGCTCTCAGTTTTCCAAGTTACAGCTGTATCTATGAGCTCACAGAAAAAAAACTTACCTCTAGAATCAGTTTGAACTCTCCATTAACTGCAGTCCCTTCCCAATAATCGAGGTTCTGGTTTAGAAACCGTGCAGAAAAAGACTCAAAGGTCACCATTTTACATCTAAAGGACAATATTTATATCAAAATCAGAAACAAAAAGGGAACACAAAAAAGATTTCTCTTATCAAGAACTCAGATATTCTGGGACTGAATTGCCCTTTCCAAACACCGAAGACTTTTTTGCTACACTTCCCTTTCTCAATAACTCCAAAGAGCTGAGGGTGTTCCCAATCCCATTTCAAACACCGATATTAGAAAAATTCATGTTTCACCAATACTTTAAACAGCATTTCATGCATCAAAAATTTAAAAGGGAAATTTCGTATCACTCTTTTTAAGTGCAAGGTTCCAGGCAGGGAAATCTTTAGCTTTTCACAAAATGATAGAAAAAATAAGCTGGTTTCATAATAGGAGGCAAATCAGGCTTCAAAATGCTTCATAAATTCACAAATTGAGCTAGCCTTTCTTTAAAATTCACATGTCACAAATTAATTTTGACATTAATCACAAGTTTACTGTACATATAAACCTTTTGCCATCCTCTCCAAACATTTGATTTTTTATGAGCCACTCCAACTGTTAAATGTACATCATTCCATGTCAATTACCTCAGAGAATCTGGAGTTACCACATTTACAATGTATTTGGCTGTAACCAATATCCTTGCTATAAGCCAACTGACCCCAAACTTCCAATGTGTAAAATTAACTCAACCCTTTAAATTCCAAGATATGGCTGTTAATTCTCTCTTCTAGCTGCTACTTATTTCCTTATAAATTAGTAACAAGAATTTGGTGGTAAATCAAGATAACAAATTCTAATTGAGAAGCATTCTCATCACCTGTTTGCTGGATAATGTATGAATATCATAAGGAGAAATTACACATTAGTCACTTCTGGGAATTAAAGGGTGAACCAACATGAGTAAGTCAAGACCTATTCTTGGACTTTATGTACATGTATAACAAAGACCCAACAACTTTGCATAAATTTACACTAAAAACTGCTTTTCTCTCAAAAGAAATTTGTAAAAAAGCTATGCAATGAAAAGATGAAAGTTAACAAAGGTTCCCCTGCATAAAACACATGCACAAAAAAATTGAAGCTTTACTTTGAGTGAAAATAACTTGGCTTATAGCTGAATAATTACAGTATATCAAAATGATATCCTCAAGGTCACAAGTTTTTCAATTGTTATCACCTAGCTGTTGTTGATATTGTCAATACAGAGTTACTGTTATTAAGTGAATCGAGAAACATGATTTTGAAATAAATGTCACCTTACAGCTTATGGCAACCTTGAGTAAATGCTGCAATGCAAATGCTGAAAATCTAATAAACACCTTGACTTTTGATCAAAGGAGCAATGAAAGTGGATCATTTGTACATTTTCCACAAAATTAACATTAAAAAAATTATGAGAGCTTGAAAATTTTAAATTCCATAAAAATCAATTGATGATTTGTTAAGACCAAAATTGAGACTGCAGACTGGGTACAAAGTACATGCTGCATCAAAATATTTCTCTCTTGCTAAACACAGCATACCAGCATGTATTAGTCTAAGATGCTGAGTGAAAAACACTTAATAATATTCCCTGGAAGAGCATTACTGTTAAAATGCATGTCATAACTAAAACTTATCTCCCTAATATATTTCAATCAGTGTTTATTCACATTGTGTATAATACAATCTTTCCCTTCAACCCTTTAACTCCAAATAATAATTCTCCTTACTGTCTGCCATACCATTCTTATGATGCTAGTTCGAAGAATTTGTTATTGGATCAAATAATCCCCTAAATGATACTTTTCTTTATTCTCATCACTTTTTTGTTTAATTGATATTGTCTTGTCACCCATGGGAGTTAAAGAGCTAAGTAAAACACTGAAAATACCAAGCTCAGAAGGCATTAAACAATTATTTTTAGAAGAATGTAGGTGTCATGCTTTAAAATTCCAGACATCGGCAGTGAGAATATTTTAGCAATGGACATTATTACATAATGAGCATAATTAGAATTTATATGGCGCACAGATATGAATGATCCAATACCCTTCGCAGAACATAAAAAAATTTTCAATGATAATGGCAGCTAACTAAAATCACTATAAAGTTACATAGAGATAAGAAAACCTAATTCCCTTAAGAAGATAAAAACACTTCATTACTGGAGGCACCAAACAAAAAGCTTGGCTCAAAAGGTAAGTTTTGAGACTACGCTTAAAACTAGGTACAGGTCAGTGATGTCACTAAGTAGACTTCCAGTCTCAATCACTCTGACGAAGGGCTAAGGCTCGAAAATCAACTGTTAAACTCTTTACAGTGGCAAATTTACCCTATCAATTCAGTTGATAATACTAAATTACCCTGGTATAATCTCTCTCACCAACATAGCACCACGGTTTCTATAGAAACTTACCCTCTTTATTCCAAAGGTTCCATCACCATGGAATATGACCTCAGCAAGTTGATAAAGGGGTCATAAGAAGTTAATTATCAAGTGCATGCACAGTGCAAAGCCTCAGGTGGATACTGGTGTAAACACAAGCTCAAAGGGGCTGTGTATTCTCCTAACCTTGGTTTCTTAAAATCCATCCCACAAGGACAGCTGATTCTTTTGTAAAAAGTTAGCTCTTGGTTTGCTAAGGGAATAACTCTACAACAACAAAGCTCTAGAGCACTGACTAAGGGAAACCTTTGCCACACTTAGTGCAAGGAATGAAATGTTATGGGAACAGAAATGAACACACTACATATTCTTAACATAGATTTTTCCATAGAAATCAAAACACAAATGTAACAAACTAAACATTCAGTAACAGGAGTTTTTTGTTCTAATCTTGACCCTCATTTAAAATGTTTTTTGGTTATGGATGGATTTGTTCTGCAATAGTTTCCATCTATAACTACAGTAGTTAAAAATTAAAGATTCCAATGACACATACTGCATGTACTATCCAATGTTTAGAAATGCCATGTTTGAGTTTAAACCTGTCTCTCTTGAGCACTAAAATCCCCTTTTACACAGAAAAGTTTTTTCTCGCACAAAGGGCAAAGGCTCTGCTTAGAAATTAAGAAATTCTATTGCCATGTACCAGTAAATAGAAGATAAAAGAAAAGATCAGTTTCCTTATCTTTAGAAGTTCCTCTTTGAACTATTTACACTTAATTTTCTCAGCAACAGTTTGGTGCGGTAAGTATTCTCCTACAGTGTAAGTATAACATCCATTGTAAGAGGAGGACATTTTGGAGTTTGAATAATAGCATTTGTAGGTTAGAAAAACCCACTTTCATTTAGCTAAGAACTTTCTTCGAAGAGAAATTCTAACCCAGATTAAATATGCCAACAAAACAACCTCTTGCTCTCTAAGAAAAACAAATTAACTGTGTTTGCTCCAATCAGTCAAGAAAAAAATATTCAATTTTCCACCTGGAAAATATTTCTTCCATAACTAAAACTGATTTAAAATTTCTCTTTCAAAATATTATCATCGGCAACAGGGGTGTAATTAAAAAATGGCTTATCTTTATGTTGATGTCCAAGTTACATTCATCAAATTAAATAATTATGATAAGCATTTGCCAATAAACAACTTCCAAAGAGCATAAAAGGAAAGTTATTGCCTTGTAGAATTTTCAGGATATAGTTCATAATCTTTTGTACTATTCTCACAGAAGTATTTCTAGGAAACATCTAAGGCTTTTTCTAGGAGGAGAGTAGTTAGAGAAATGCAATCATTTCAAGGAAACTTTATAAAATGACGTTGGGTTCATATTTTATTGTAGTAACATTTTGTAATAATAAAGTTTTGTTGTTCTTAGAGAGAAAGAAGAAATGAAAATTAGTTTGGTATTCCAAAAGTTACTTGAAAGAACTTGTATTAGTCCATGGATACATTCAATATAAAATATATCAATGAAAGTGAAATTTCATCTGTGAAAAAATAGGTAATGTTCAACTCATATAAAAAAAAAAAAAAAAACACTAATCATATAGCTGCATGTATGAGGAGTATATAAGTAGGTAAATCTCTTGGTATTTTTCATTGACTGGTAAAAGCTACAATAAAAATTATAAAATTCAAATATTTACATTTTGTATGTAATTTCCACTTGAGAGACTTTACCTT